ATATAGCAGTTGCAGAATCATCCGAAGTTCACAGTTGAAGGTTGTGTGTAAATAGGGGCGGTGCTGCAATTCAACAACCGTAGCTGAATTTTGCATTCGAGTTTCAGACATGCAGCAGACGTCAACCGATGAAGCATACAGTCTGCATATAAGAGCAGTTCGTTTACCGATCTAAGGCTTTGCACATTGGACGTTTAACTCTATACGAGAGAATGAGGCTTGAAGCTAGGCACAAAGATGTAAAAAGGAGGGGGGAGCATGCGATGTCTCAACTACCTAGGTGCACGACTGGCGTGCCTACCACTGGAATATACACAAAAGTCACTATAAAATAGGTAGGTGGTAAATTAAGATGTAACAATTAGGAGAGACAGGCGTCAGCATTTACCGGTTTTTGTTTCTTCGCTAACAGAGTGGCTCAGCTGATTTCACCACACAACGGCCAATGTGGCATGACCGTACGTTTATTTATAAAGGTGCTGGTGGCATGTGAGCTGGCTTACTGTCAGAGCACCTTGAGTTGATCTTAAGAACCATTTCTGTATTCATCCAGAGCCTTCGGCTCAAAAGCCAAGCCGAAAATATACCGATAATGGGCGTAGGACCACCAAAGTAGTCCAGATTTCAGGAAACAACATGCCATACATGTTCCAACCCCCAACCCGGAGACAGGTTCTTTTCTTTCACTTCATTTCGCGCAAGATGCGATGAACCGTACTACTGAAAAGAGTCACTCAATAAATATGGATTTGTAATGATTTTGAGTCCGGTGTGTTTAGGAGTGCTGAGAATACAGTCACATACTCTTGAGGTCAAGTGTTAACATAAGAAATGAAAGGTCTATCAGGAAAGTCAGATTCCTACAGGTAACCACTGAATGCCCGAAATATACTGAGACCCCAACTCCACTAGATGCTGACCACAGAGAGAACACCCCTTCAATATGCAGGGCGTCAGCCTTGTACCAAAGCCAGTCAGCGTGAGTCACCACTGGATCAAGGTCAGGCAACGCCCCTCAATATGCGGTGCGTCGCAGTCTAGTATCAAGGCCGGATAGCGTTAGACCAAGGTTAGACATCCATCCATCCACCCAACAAAATAGCTTGAGGCTGTTTTACTTTCGCACTCACGCTCTCACACTTGCTTGTTTGCAATACAGCTGTTGTGTGTGTTATCGGCGATTCTTTTTCGGCACTAGGCACTGGAGCGGGAACAGCGGCCAGATATAACAGATTGGTGACTCAATCAGATATAACATAGTCACTGATCAAAGCATGTTGCGAGCATTTCGCGACCGCTTTTTACGGCGGAACAAACATGAGAAACATAAAATGGTAAATGTGAGAGAGGGGCTATCATTTCTTGGTGTATGGCACTGAGATGAAAAATTGTTCGGAAAGAGCGACAGTTTGGGCAACCT